TTCCTGGTAAGAAAGAGAAAGTTGTTTCCACCACAGAGTATCTCTAATCCATAATTTTCAAAAAATCTTAATGATCAGTATTGAGTACGTAAGTCAGGGAAGTATTAATGGCTATAGAAAAAAGTGATAGCCATACAGAAAACTAAACCATACATGTATGTATGCATATATTTATGTATACATATACTGACACACTTTTGCAATATATTTAAAGAAAAATAGTAGAGCCATTCCAGTCTCACATTAACATATGTAAAAGTATCACTGGCCTAACTACTTGGCAGTCACATCATGGAGGCAGAACAATAAAATGAAAGACAGAATTTACTGTTCATGACATTATGGGAGTAACCATTAGTATGCATACCAAGAAAAGGTTCTGTATTACCTGTCATACCTCAGAGGCTAACTTGGTGTCATTATATATGAGAACAGCTGTGTTTAGGAGAATGAAAATAGTAAGTTGAATGGTTAGGAAATGAATAATTGGTTGCACATGAGCCAGCAGTAGACCTGATTCCTGACTACTTTGTGGAATACCAGACACTCCAACTCACAATGATTATGGCAGAGCTGGACCATGGAAATAAAAAGTGTCTGGAGAGGAGCAGTTTTCCTGATCAGGGAGAGGTGTGAAATTGCTTCTGTATAAAGAGAAACAGACTAGGAATATCAGAACTAGGAATACTATCAGAAAGCAAGGCTCAAAAGAAATAAAAAATAAAGAACAAACAAAAATAATTATGTATTTAAATTCCAGAACTCACTGCAATGAGATCTGGCAGAGACTACATAAAAACTAAAACTATCTGGACAAATCAGTAGAAAAGGGATGTACTAAGACAGAAAGACACAAGCATAGCTTTTAATGCTCTGTCAGAGGTGAAAGTATATCATGGAATGAAGCATACTTGTATGTACACCCAAACACACATATATACATACCAAGAGCTTCTTATATATGTGCCTGTGTGTGTGTTTTCTTAATAGTACCAGGTGCTCAGGAAGAGAGTTTCAAAAAGACAGCATGCTTAACTGACTGACCATTGTTTTTTGTCTTAGCATGGCAGTTTTGACAGGGTGTATAACCTATTTGTTAACCTAAAGCATTAAGGAAAACATTTGATCATCGGAAGTTTCCCCTCTATTAAAGGGGAGAAAACTTTGCCCGAGTTCACTGTTACTGTCCAGAATAGATATGTTAAGATACACTCTATAGATAAACAAAGACAGATTTAGCCTAAGTCAAGGTGAACCCTTCAGTACTATTGCTAGCAGAATGTGTTGACCAGCTGCCTTTCAGATTATAAACTGAATGCCAGCAAAACAGCCTCAGTTCAAACCAGTCTCAATCAGCGACTTAAGTAGACTAGATGAACAGATGCATTTCCTATGTCATCTTTTCCCAAAAGGAACACCTAAGTTGTCGTGATTAATCATTGCAACAGACCTGTTTCCTCAAAGTACTCACATTATAATCAATTAGCATTCATTTAGTTTTGGTACCTTATTTTATCAATCAGATCAGGAATAGATGGCCAATGCTGGGAGGAAACTGGCAGAAAAATGAAAAAACACAGTACCTCAGAGATTATAAATAAACAGCCTTTTATAAGAGATCGGACACTGAATAAATAGTATCTACGCTTGATGGTATCTATGGGAGTGCTCTGCAAAAACTAGATTTTGTATTTGGCTTGTTACCAGAAGAATGTGTGGCTTGCCAGTGACTTGGCACAGAAGAAAACCCCGTTAACTGTGAGAGAGAGAGAGAGAGACAAACACGGATATAGACTTAATCAGGAACGCACAGCCACATCAATGAAACTCTTAGGAGTCATAAAAAGCCTGAGACGTAGTATCCCCAGGCTGAAAGTTCACCAAGACCAAGTGAATGGCTTGCAGCCAATTACAAGTTCAGCTTCTCTCTGCCAGTCCTAAATGAACAAATTTCTACCCTACACTAAAACTCAATGAATGCTGGTATCTCTGCTTTCCCTTACCTCTAACCAAAGACCCTTGCACACTAACTTGATGCCAAAATTAGCAATTTTAAACTACAGATGTAGCTCTCCATAGGATTCTATATTTTAAAATTTTATTCTCCAGGTTATACAACAAATTTCAACAATTTTCTTCTCAGTATTTACAAACTAGCTTTTTAGTCTTCCTGCAAGAAGTAACTCATTGGGAAAGCAAGCCATTACCAAGGTATATTCCCTCTGCCCAGTAAGGGAGAATGAGCTGGGAGGGGAAAACAGTCTTTTGCACAATAAACTCATTTTTAAACTTCCAATAACATGGTGCTTACTAAAAATTACTAGCAGATTTCTTTTTCAAAAACATCTAATTAGCCAAGAGCTTTTAAACCTAGGAGTTGCCATCGTGTGTAAATCACATTTTCTTAAACCCTGTTAGTGCAAACCAAGCCAGACGTGGTAATATCCTGCTTAGTTCTACGCAAGCTAGATTTCTGTGCTACGTTATTTTCCATGCCTACGTACAAACTTTTTGAATACAAGTGGGAAGGTTCACCTCACTGTCACTACGGAGATGAAAAAAATTGCGTAGTACTGTGGTGAAGCAACACGACCGAGGAAGGTGCGCTCCTCAAGGATAATTTTACATTAATGAATTTTTTTTTTTCTCATTTTAGCCTGGAAGAGTTGTGACTCTCGTTGAAGATCCTGAGGTATAGTACTCTTGTTCTGTCTCTGTAGTGTACAGCATGTCCTGTTACATTCCCAGCCTGTGTAGTAAGTCTCTTAACTTTTCTTGGAGTTACACCAATGACTTTATTGTTCTGAATAAATCAATCAGTCTGAACTAGGAAACTGGAAGTAGTTTGGGTCTGTTAGTAGCAAAGGTATATTTTAAGTATTTTCTGGAATAGTCACTTCAGCTATCCAGTTATAAGATGCAGAATTTTACTTTCAGCATGCATATAGTGCTGACAGTACACCAACAGTAGACCCCCCCAGAACAGTAATCTTGCCCTCCCAAAATAAAAACTAAAACAAATCAAGATTACATTACAGTGATAAAAAAAAGAAGATACCTTTGCTTTATTTTTTGCTACACAGATAAAACACTTTAGAAATTAAATGCCACAACTGTCATTTTGGTTTCAATGTAATATTGTAAAATTAGAGTAGTTGCCTACCACTCTTGCTTATCTTTTGATCTCTTCCCCAAGTGTCACTTAAGACAGTGCAAGGGAAGCATTGGAAGTGTTTGCAAAGGGGAGTGCCAGGGAGGAGAGGTGAAACAAGGCCTAGACTTACAGTCGCGTAAGCTATAGGAAGAAAATCAAGATTTTTCTGCTCATAGAAGTACCTAGCCTTACATTTTACCCATTCCTCTGTTCTGGCACCTTGCTGGGGACAGCTGCAACGGCCGTGTCCATCCAGCTCCACACCGCCCCAGGAGAGGGAATCCCCGCAGGCAATGGTGCCTCCAGAGGGACATCAGGAAGAAAGGATGACAGGGAAGCAGAGGGAGAGCAAGACCACACGACACCAGGCCTTAAGACATGGAGGATGGGTATTTTGGGAGCAGTTAGTTTTTATTTACAGTTGCTTATCTATGCAATTATGATATTGCTGTCTTACCCATCTATTTCCCTGAAATAGCAGCCACAGAGAGGTAAGTTTAGTGGTAATCAAAAACGTCAACTGTTTTTTGCAGTTAGCAAAACAGCAAAATGCAACACGTTGTCTCATTGTGATTTTCTGTACCTTTCTAGTAAGGGTTTTTTTCACATTACTGTACTGCTGGGCACCATTATGTTACACAGGCACCTATATAGAAAAAGAATGCTTACATTTGTTGTCACTTGGTTTGTACTGTTAAGCAAACTCACTCATTACCATAGAAACTTTTTTCCCCTTAGCAAACCAGTTTGGTTTGGTTGGGTTTTGTTCCCTTTTCTCCAGGAACTGGAATGGACAGATAATCACACTTTACACATAAACATAAAATGATATGACAAGTCATTTGGTTTAATTTCAGTCACGCATTCTGTGATTTAAAAAGGTAACGGTATTTTGAAGGTATCTTGGCAGACTACAGCAATTAGTCCCCTGAATTCTGAAACAGGAACTCCTGTACTGAAAACAGAATGAGGGAACTAGCAGTACTTGCCTGCTTTAAGTCCCTATCTCCACCATGCGCATATACATTTTCCTGTCAACACCAAAGTAGGTCTGAAGGGCAGATTTCACTCCAGAGAGTAACATGCACAGAGAGGCTGTTTTTAAAACCAGCACGTTTCCTGCAGACAGCTGGAGTGAACCCACCTCTCAGATGGCCAAGGGAAAGCAAGGAACCCATTTTTGTACTCGCTAGTGCCATTGCTGGCCACAGCACATCAGATGCTGTAACCAGCTACAAAAGATGCCATAGAAAATGACTCCTGATTATTTTTATTATTTTTTTAAATAAAATACCTTTAACCAGCATATGGTCTGACTGCAGAATTCAGCGCTCATGAATTAACACCACCACTCCAGCATGACTAAATACAGTTATAAGGAAAAAAGATCCAGTTACAAGGAAAAAAAATAAAACAACCCAAAAGTTAATTGCTTTGTCATCATTATGGTAGCACTGATACAAATACCAACTTAACTGCAGGAAGAATACACAGTTGGTGCTGCCAGTAGACAAAACAGACTACTATTTCTTTTAAAACAGCACTTGTGAAAAATACTTTGTAGCACTTGGTGGGTAACAGACCATCATCATTTTTCCATGCTACTTCAAAACAAAACAAAATCCCATGTAAATCTGTCCCTACACAGATGTCACTGATTTGTTTATATAAAACTTAGTAGGAGAGTAGAATTAATTCGTACCTCAAATAAAGCAGCCCCTTTAGTTTGGGACTCCTGCTACAAACAGTGCAAGAAGTAGCTATAAAAAGACTGAAAAAGGAAGAAAATTAATTTATTAAAGAGAGTTTTACTGACATACAATAGAAATACATTAAATTTTCAGTATCCTTTTAAACACTGCTTGGATTTTCTTTTCTTATGTCCTTCAACAGGGGTCTGTATGGGGTGTTGCTTACAGATTGCCAGCTGGACAAGAATGTGAAGTAAAGGCATACCTGGACTTCAGAGAAAAAGGAGGCTACAGGACTACAGCTGTCATTTTCTATCCAAAAGACTCATCAGTAAAGCCATTTGATGTACTCTTATACATTGGAACTTGTGATAACCCCAACTACCTTGGTCCAGCACCTCTGGAAGAAATTGCTGAACAGATTTTTAGTGCAGTTGGTCCTAGTGGAAGAAACACAGAATACCTGTTTGAACTCGCCAGTTCTATCAGGAATCTGGTACCAGAAGATGCAGATGAGCATCTCTTCTCCTTAGAGAAGCTAGTAAAGGAACTCTTGCAAAAGCATCAAAACCTAAACTGTCTATAAAATAACTTTGTACTTTTAGTGATCTTGCTTCATCTTCAGAGGAATGGTTTTGTTGCACAGTGGGTATATGACCTGGGGGCATATTTCTCTGTTCTATGCGATCTTATTTATTTTGATATTGCATTCAAAATAGTAGTTGGTCATTAAAACACACCATTACAGAAATAATTCTTTCAGGAGTCTGTAGAAAGGGGAGCAGGGGAAGTGTTTTAGGTTTGAATTTGGACTAGATGACCTTTAAAGGTCCCTTCTAACCCAACACATTCTATGATTCTCTGATTACATCTTTATGTAAATCTCAAGAGAACCACTTAAGCTTCTCTTTGTTTGAAGATTATTTTTTTAAATTATTATTTCAGGTTTAAAATAAATCTTTAGATTGTAAAGATAAAAATCTGCATTCAGATACAACTCCCACTGATTTAAGTCATAGTTCTTTCTGATTCAAGACCACAGGCACAGAGCTCAGTGCAGTTAAAGAGATAAATGTTAAGTAGCTGTTGAAAACTGCATAGCAAATACATAGTAGAACATTTATATCATCAATTATCAATTTCAATGAAATCAAGTGATTCCACTGAATTGGTCATCTTACCCTTTATATATCAGTTTGTCCTTAAACACAGAGAATAAATGGTTTCATTGTCAAGGAAATAATTCTTTCCCTTGGCTCATGATGACAAACCACTGAAAACCAAAGCACAGGGTACTTTGACACAAACAAGCCATAATGTAGCAGTGCCTCATTTTATTTTTTAAGATTAATATAAAGAATAAAGCCAAAATATAAAATTAACTAAGAGTATGACTTGAAGTCACAATGCAGCAAGAATGTTCAGAAACCTCTAGATGCTTTAGATGCTGTTGTAACCCCATCTCTTAAAAATATTCACCAATTTCTGAGGATAGATTTTAAACCAGTAATTTTCAACCTCTATCTCAGGCATTCACGGACAAAAGGAACCCTCTTTTCATAAAATTTACATATGTTGTATGAACATCCAAGCAAAGAGCATTGGAAGGCCACCAGGTTAGACTAGCAGGCTTACTTTATGCAAAAGGAGGTTCCGTCCAAACAAGGACTTGCATCTCAAGAGTTTAAGTTATTTTTGTTAACTTTTAACAAAGTATATTTTTGTACTTTAATATAGGAAAGGTCCTATTTCAAACACCATGTAATGTCACATTTTCTCATACAGAGAATGTGTGTTTATTAGTAGCTTGGAAGCCTATACTTTGCGTCAATAATTACAAAACCCATATGTTTCTACTATACAGGTTGTCCCTTTATCTTCTGGTGAGACCACATCTGGAATATTATGTCCAGTTCTGGGCCCCTCAGTTCAAGAAGGACAGGGAATTGCTTGAAAGAGTCCAGCACAGAGCCACAAAGATGACTGAGGGAGTGGAGCATCTCCCTTATGAGGAGTGGCTGAGGGAGCTGGGTCTCTTTAGCTTGGAGAAGAGGAGACTGAGGGGTGACATCATTCATGTTTATAAATTTGTAAAGGGCGAGTGTCAGGAGGAAGGAGCCATGCTCTTCTCGGTGACAGCCAATGACAGGACAAGGGGCAATGGGTGCAAGCTGGAGCATAGGAGGTTCAATCTGAATATGAGAAAAAACTTTTTCACTGTGAGGGTGACAGAGCACTGGACCAGGCTGGCCAGAGAGGTTGTGGAGTCTCCTTCTCTGGAGACATTCAAAACCCGCCTGGACGCGCTCCTGTGTGACCTAGTCTAGGTGATCCTGCTCTGGCAGGGGGGTTGGACTTTCGAGGTCCCTTCCAACTGCTGAGATTCTGTGAAACTTCTTTACATTTTCCTGTTTTATCTTTGTAATGTAATTGCTTGAAAATATTAGGGTTATCAAAATAACAAGCTGCTATTATTTTACTCAGCCACCAACAAAAGCCAACAAGAACATAAATGAATGTTAACAGGAAACATTTCAGAAAGGCAGCTAGATGAGGAGAAGATAGGATATCAAAATTCAAACCTAAATTGGAGATAATTAGACCACTTAAAATATTTAACCAAGAAAGGTATATTTTTCTGGCATATCTCAACCTTTGATTCATTGAGGGGGGAAAAAAAAAACCAACCAGCTAATGGAGCTGTAGAGCAGGAGAGAAGTATGATCAGAACTCCTGGGTGTCTGTAAGCATTAAGATGCCAGGGCTGGAGCTGTCCAAGTGACTTCACACACCAAAGATGGACAGTGATAACCAGCACCCAAATCAGCAGTAATGAATATGCTCTATTATGCATGCATTTATTCACCTACACTTAAAGCACAAGACTTAAGTGTTACTGGATACTTAACTGTTACTAAAAATGGTATGCATGATCTATTTCAAGAATATTGAAGTGTTGGAAAGAGCAGTACCCTCAAGAAAACCCAACCAACAACAGCACTTCCTTTCTTGTGCTTATCTCAGATTTAAGCAAGCTATATAGTAGTTAATACAATGGCATGCCCACTCTACCCATTTTTTAAATTCTTTCCTCAAAGGCTTATCCTTGTTCCTTAAAACAGGGCAGGGGATGCATACATTCACTAATGATCCAAAACCATCAGTGATGATTCCCTCTTTAAAACTCTGTTTGAGCACTGTGTTAGGGCACTGTGACTATGTATGGCTCTACATGTTGTATCTTTAATTATATTCAGGATATTGTTGGTTCATTTCCTTTCCACATTCAAAAAACTTGCAATAATATCTGTAATAGTACATTCCAGTTTGTGCATACAACTTCAGTACAATAAAAATGCATCACATTTACTAATGGTGCTGGAGACAGAGATTTCCAGAAATGTTATTAAAGTGTATCCATATTAGAATGGACATCAACCTGTGTCTTAACTGCATCTTATTATAAAATACTGCTAGATCTAATTATGAAAAACAATATACAAGAGCTAGCTACTATTATGCAGTCTTATACTGTGCTGACACTAGAAATTAAAGCACTGGAAATACACATTTGTTCTTGCTGTATGGGATTTGAGCCATCACCAGCAAAAGCCCAGCATACTTTCAGATCTGTGACTCACCTCAAAAACATGACAGCTTGATTTGATTGTGCTATAGCGTTCTTTTTTAATACACACAAACATCCCTTTGCTTTTATCCATTGGCTATGTTTAACAGCTTTGTGCATAAACTATTTACTGAAGTTTGGAGAGTCACAGATCTTTTCAAAACAAGCCAAAGCCAACTGTCATGCCCTCACTACACAAAAGGAATTGTTAACCATTTCCTTATTTTTTTATCACTACATCTTTCTCCCTGTTTTCATGCTCTCAAATTTCTTTTTCACAAGTGTACACAAAGACCAGACTCTTTCTAGACTAGGCTGCTTTCTAGAAAATAAAATTTGATGAAAATTGCTCACAAAGATAACTAAACTACAGTTCAGTCACTCAGAAGAGTGCAATGGTAATTCTTAAAATCACTTTAACAAATTCAGTAAAACAACCTTCACCACAAACGCAAGAACAACATCAGGTCATGCTACAAGTCTTTAACAACTGACAAAAAAAAGAAAACATGCATTCTTAACCTTGACAAGTCTGAATGTTTCAGGCAATTTTGCTAAGAAAACATGTACTTGTTTGCTCAAAATATCATGTATAACTTAATACCTTACAAACAAGGAAAAAAAAAAACCCAAACATTTTGAACACCACTTACCCTTAAAAGCTAAAGCAACATTGTTAAAAAATCGATTGCACCAAGCCCCATTGGTATTATGTCACTATTTTATATCATTATTTCCTGAAGTTCATCATGTCACCAGTTTAACTCTGATTTGTATTGCTTCCCATCCTTTCTCTCTAGTATGCATCTGGATACAGGCTTTACTCAAACTGAGAAGCTGAGGATGTTGAAATAACACAATGCTACAGCTCCCCCATCCGATCTATTTCCTTATGTCTATTCTGTGTAACAAAACAAGTTCTTGCTAGGCAATTTTCCACTGTTCAGCCAAGCTACCAAACTGGCAGAGGGGATGCCAACAGATATCAAGACAGCAAGCCCCCAGCAGAGACCTGCATCCTGATTTTCTGCTGCGCAAGTATATAATTACTGTAAGATTAAGCACTTTTTTTTCAAGTAATTAGGCTTCCCTAACAGTCTTCTGCAAAAGCTGTACATGGACTAAACGCTCACTTTGATTAACAACTACAGTACAGCCCCGATTATTGCAACTTCATATTCCCTCAGTATACCTACAACAAAGTAATTTCCTTGCTCCCCTGCCTTTTTATTTGAGCAGTTTCCCTTCAATTGTTCCTCTCCTTTATCTCAAACAAATGTCTTGCCTGCATCTTTCTGGCCTTTTGCAACTTAGGTCTCTTCTCTGCAGGTACTCTCCTGGCACTTTCATTGTGCACACACTCTTGAACTGGGAGAACTTTCTGCACAGCTATATCTGCTTTGGCTGTAGTTTAACAAGAAAAAAATTACACTCTTAAACAAGAAAATTATAGTAACAAAGCTCAAAAGTGTTGACTAGACCTGAGGCAGCCACTTAGTAAAGTTTTAAGCTATCTCAGCTGTATCATCCCCACCTGGAAATTCTTCTTCTGATCAGGGCAAAAGTCAACCATGGGACTACAAACCATTTCATTAAACAGTTCAGACTCAGTTTTCCTCAATGTAAATGCAAAAAAGCAATGAAAAGGGGCCTGAAAGAAAACATCTTAAACCAAACCACCTGAACTCATGACACATTATCCAGAGTTATCTTTCTCCACCGCTACTGGGAATTTTCCTGATATCATCCACTTCCTTTGCCTTCTTATGCTTCTCTCACTAAACACTTCAGTGCCCACTGAAATCAGGGTTCCTTAGGGTTTATTAAGAATCACTATACATTGCCAAAACATTACCGCTATCCCCATATCTCACTCTATCACCAACTGCCCTACTTTTCGCCTTCCTCCAGAGTCTCCATTCTACGTCTCAACTTATAGTTCAGTCTCAAACAGAGATAAAAG